GACTACTAACCATCTAAATTAAGGGATTATTCGCAGAGTAAATTAAGAAAAACGATCCCGAGGTGGAGACCCAATGACCAGCCTAGGCGCAGTGCTGAGAGCCCATGGTCGGTTGACTTACCTACACCAACGTACTTCGGCGGATACCACTTTTAGACTAGTGTCCTTGAGGGAGGCTATGAATCAAAATTTTATTGCAGCTTTAACCACATTCAGATATGTCTTGTTGCGAATGGTAAGAGTTGTGATTATAAAGAATTATCAAGGGAGAATTTTAAATTGATCGATGCTCGAAGCTGAGTACGGTTAAATATCCATCCAGAGTGAACCATCCCGCAGACGCATATTGTCGACATATAAATTTCACAAATTCTTTTCGAGACAAGAAGGGGACACAGAAAGTGATCGTCTGCCAAGCATGTCTACAAAGTAACTTGAAACCTTGGGTGCGTCCTGATTCTCTCTCCATACTTCAGTAATAAGAAGGGAACTGGGGTCATGGCAAGAGCAATGAAAGCCAAGGTACTGTTGCCCCAGCCAAGTCCAAGAGCAGCGTACAGACGACGTCCAGCCAATGGCAGGACGGCTCCGAACAACGATCTAGCCACCGTGTTCGTGGCCAAGGCACTTGCGGCATAGACACCAAATGTATCAATGAGGTACATCTGAATAGGAAGGAAAGTGCACATAATGCCGAAGCTGATGAACGAAGTCCCAATGATAGGCACGATCCAGTGCACCTCATACTCTGCCGTCCAACCGTACCATAGCAGGCCTGCAGGGATCAAAAATCCACCGACAATCAGGGGAGGGAGGCGGTGTTCAGGTTTTGTGGGTCCTTCGGCGGATTTTCGCTTGTAGTATTTGTCCGCAGCACTGCCGACGCTGAATTGTCCAAGGAAGAAGCCTACACCTAAGCCTAGGTATGCAAGGCCAACCTCCCCGGCGTCAAAGTGGTATTGTTCTTGGAAGACGAATGTGAACGTTGTGAAGAGGAAGTAGAGGTAGCTGTAGATGATTGACATGTTGAGGGCGAGGATGGCGACGATGGGTGAGCAGAACAACATCTTGGTCGGACGAATGATAGCCGTCTTGAAGTGTTGCGCTGGGCTAAGGCCTTCATCGAATTTTGACTTGTAGTTGGAATCGCCTGTTTCTTTTCGAAGTCGCGCAGCCTTCTTCCCAAGCAGAGTAGGTGCATAGGTTTCTCGTAGGATGAAGTGTGAAGCGATGACGCCGACACCAGTCTAGATATTGTCAGCTGTCTTCCTTCTCGTGTCGGGTTTCCGTTCTCACCATGATTGCAGTAAACCAAAAGCTCCAACGCCATCCAATATTCTGAGCCATGAAGCCGCCAACCACAGGTCCAACCACGGGTCCCTAGCATCACCAGTCAGCTCCGTCCTTAACCTAATATATTTGAATGACCTACAAGTAGAGGTCCCATCGACCAGATAGCAAGGGCCCGTCCTCGATCAACCGGAGCCATCAAATCGCCAATAGTTCCTCCACCAAGAACCAATGGTGGACAGGCAGTGATACCTTGGCATAGGCGGAAGAAGATGAACATGCCCATGCCTGAGCTCACTGCGCATGCAATGGAGAAGACAAGGAAAAGGATGTTGGCAATGTAGTATACTGGGAAGCGACCGTAGACTTCGCTGAGTGGCGCAAGGAATAAAGGTCCAACGCAGAAGCCGAGAACGTAAATTGAGACAATGAAGGTTGCGAGCTCATCACTTGTGGTGTGAAACTCTCTGAGCAACTCTGGGACGCCAGGTGCGAAGATAGTGGAACCAAATGAACTATCGAAGCACAGTTAATGAATGCTTTGCTGCTACGTTTGTTGGTCAACTTACGTGACGAAGGTGATGTATGCCACTAGAGCGATAGTAGACCATTTCTTGTTCTTCGACCAATTCATGGGGTTCTGCTGGTCGTTTGGTGAGTCCCAATCAACGACGATTGGCGTTATCGTCTTCTCAGCATCGTCTACGGCTGTGCTGTTAATGCTGTCATTGTTCGTAATATTTGACACAATAGTGTCATCTTTGGTACTTTGGTCCTCCATGATTGGAATGTAGTGTTCTGAGAATCTCTGAAGATTACAAGCTCATAAAAAGGTTGTAAACTTGTGGTACATCCCAATTGTTATCTCAAATTCCCCGGATGATACGTAGTCATGTAACAAAACACTTTATTGCCCGAGACTTTGCCTAAAGAAGGTTAACCCTGGTGTTGCTCCAATCCCAGTCTTGCACGCTAGTGGGGTTAGTGTCTGGAGTTTGTGGACATCAACTGCCTCCTCGCGGTTAACGGATTTAAACTCAATGGCTCCGAGGACGGCATTTGTGGGAGCATCCGCGAAGGCGCTTCGTAACGGCCCGTCTGACAAGCTAAGCAAGGTCAAACCTATTGCAGACCTGACACACAACGTGACATTGCTGTCCCAGTCCTTGCATACATTAGTCGCCATTTATTCTGCCCGAGAAAACCAGGAAGCTCCTCGGACATTATAACATGGATATGCCATGTTGGTACAATATATTTCATCGAGGCACATGGTTCTTTGCGTCGGAACTACTCTGTAGTGTCCATTTAATCCAAGCTCTCCCATTGCTGTATTGGTCTTTCACGATTTGTGGAGACTCTGACCCCTAAAGAAGAACTCTTATACGACTAGAGATTAGGCCGTGCTATAAGCCAAGGAAACCTCTATTGCAATCCCCGAGGCTATAGCTCCTACGCTTTACGCTCTGCTCCACCCACTATATGCTGTGTTCTTATTAGATTTAGTATAGTTCTTCATGCGAGGTATGCCAGTTTGTCTCTCTGCTACAGTAACATACTGCTCACCGGAAGACTAAGCTATGCCAGGAGTAGGTCGCCTATCTCCCATATGGGTTACAACCAGAAAAAAACATGTCACATGCATATGCATCAATTAGTAAGTATGGCACGGCAGAACTTTGGGTGGAAGACGTTACTTTTGTACCAATCGTGATACTCTGACCAGCAGAATAAATCTGACGCAGAACTCCCTTCCTTTTTGCCCATCGAACTTCAGCCGATTACTTTCCATTATGTCACGGACAACTCCGACCCGAGATCAGCTCATCGCTACGGCGCTCAATTTCATCCAATCCTACAACAAGTAGGACTTGCAGGCTATCATGGCCATTCGAAGCCCCATTCGCATTCACTACACCCTGCCAGCTACACTGGAAGTACCTCCACGCTCAAACACCGACTACCTAACATTCATGGGGCCAATGCTCTCTGCATTTCGGGCCGTTCATTTTTCAATCATCAGCGATGACGAGAGTGTCGTTGATGTTGAGACACGGAGAGCCGTGTGGCATTGCAGCAGTCGAGCGGATACGGACGCGGGAGAATATATGAACGATTACGTATTCACCTTGACCATGAGCGAAAATGAGAAAAAGATAGACAAGATCGTGGAGTTCGTTGACGCTGCGTACACTACCGAGTTCAAGCGCCGTATGAGTCTGACTCGTACGGCAGTGCATATAGTCAATGATGCAAAGGCCGTGTCGTTTTACTAAGTGGGGGAGAATCGAGACCTACGTCTTCTCGGGGAGTTCTGGATGTTTCACGGGACGGGGTTAAGGGAGGATGGGGGATGGTTTGCGAAAGTGGCAGGTGATCCGGGTCCTTTCTCATCCCACGCGCTACCAAACAGCTCCCCATTCACCCGACCTGGTTGCTTTTTTCAAGACTGAGATTCGTACTCTCATTATCAGAACACTTTGGAAACCCCTGTCACGGAAACTTCCTGTCCAGACCTTACTTACCTGTTGCTAGCTGACGGCGCCATTTCATGCTCAAACTTCCGAGACTTGCGCAGGAAGTAAATAAACAAGGAAAGTCGGGGCATGGTACATGTCGTAGCAACGCTTTTGGGGGAATGAGATATATGGTATAGGTGATAATGCTGGATGGTTTATTGGAGTGTGGGCCGACAAACTCCATGGCCCAGGACTTCATGAGTCTATCAATTGGAGCGTCTGGGGGCGACCTATTTGGTGTATGGCATTTCTCGTGTTGTAGATAAAAGCCAAGTTCAGGCACACCCAGAGCTTAACTGACAGTCCTTTGTTACTTTTTCTCTAGAAATTTCTTGCTATTTCCCTGTTATCACGGCAGGCCCTTTGCCATTGACGATTCTGGGGAGAGTTACTAGTCGGCCATATGTTTGCTACAGTGTTTGCCTGTTAATGTAATGTGAGGTGTTTCGCGAGTAGGCACAGAGTATATCAAAGAATAGAATGAAGACGAATCCTTAAGGAGTATTCCTATGGTTCGTGGGTATTATATACTTCTATGCACGTGATCGGTACCGGACTGTCCCGAGGAGTGCCCGGTGGATCCCCGAAGGTCGTCCTCTGGGTTCAAGTCTCGTGACAAGTAAACCCTTAGATCTCCTTTCGGACTATTCGAAGTCTGAGTTTAACTATATAGGTCTGGATAGCTCGTAAAGATCCTGCCGTCTTTTTCGGTGTAATTGAAGGCGAGGAATGTTATGCTCTAGTTGTTGGAGTCATCATAGTCATTCATTCATATGACTGTCTCATGGGAATTCTCTCAAGGAGTTTGATTGAATGCCCTCGCCATTGAGCTAATTTTATAGTAAGTCCTTTTTCAACTATAATAGACTTTCCTTTCTCTGACGCTAATAACAAACTTTCATTACTCTAGACTTTATAGAATACTCTACCTTGAGCCTTTAACCCTTTCCTAGATACTCAGAAGTTATTATTATTATTCTATTATAGTCCTGTATCAGCCGTTGGCTATATAGGACTTTAGCTAAAGGCCGTTCTATCTATTATTATTCCATTATAGTCCTGTATCAGCCGTTGGCTATGTAGGACTTTGGCCAAAGGCCGTTCTATCTAACTAGTTACAATTTCGTACGTTGTGCTGCATTGCGTGACTATGGTGCTTCGGCCTTTATCTAGTTAAGCTAGTGCTAGCTTTCTAGACGCCTGGTGCTAAAGAGCAGTTTGGTAACAGGGAGAGATGTAGGGCAGCTAGGCTACCTT